CATATCATTATAAAGTGGTTCAATAATAATTTTAAAATATTCTTTGTAATAAAAACTTATGCGAAGAAGTATAACTAATGTAAGGGACATTTAAAAATTACTTGTATTTCTATTTCATCCTTACTTTAATCAAATGAGGTTTTTTGTTTAAATATTTTTCTTTTTGAAATAAAACACATCAAGTAGACTTACTCTTGATTACATCTATAATATAAAGTTATTTCATTTTAATTTTTTTTGCAATTTAATGCAATTGATTTTTTTTTAAATCCTCGAACAATACACTCGACCTGTTTCAACCAATCACATAACTAATAAAAAGGTTTGAGTGACATGACAATCAATATTATAAGATACGAGATATCTTAACCAGATACAAAATTGTATAATACTACATTATGTATTTCCATATCAAAAGTACCTACTCATATTGCTAAAATACTACTGCAAAATTTTACTTTTCAACTTTGGGTGTTTTTTAAACTGAAGATACTGCCACAGAGATGAGTAAGTAGGTATGACTGAATAAGGTATACTCGCCCTGGCGACGTGCGCCACCAGGTACGAAAACTACTATTCAACAAAAATTTATAACTTATTTCGCCACGAATTGAAAAAAAAAGAAATTTTGAATAAACAACAAGATTGTCTAAGTATATTATATGTATCCCAATAGTCATAAATTCATCAGTTAGCGGTGCCACAAATATAAATTAAGATTTACGATGGACTTATTTAAGTAACCAATGAAGCCATGAGCCGTTACACGCAAGTTAGCACGCAATAGAATATTTAAAAAAACAATTGTGTAAAATACCGAGGAATGCATATATTATTTAAGAAATCATTTTTAAATAATAGATAATTTCATAAATACCTTAGTTCGTGCGAAGCTGAAGTGCTATTAGAAAAACTTGAAAAGAAATCCACTCACTAAATGTAGCAATGCCTGCACAAGTACATGTGATTCCGATCAAAGAGTAAACTAGAAATGTAAAAATAAAGCATGGCGATAAAAATGATTGATTTTTAAAATAAATGTGCTCACAACAAAATAATATTGAATAATTAAATCGCCAACAGGAAAAGGCCTTTTTGCTATGTACTACAATACCATTGAATTACTAACATTTTATAGGTCTCGAAAAACAGCAACCATTAGTACACAGTTTACGTCTAGATAATATGGAGGTTAAGCTAGGAAACAGCACTGTGTGTGTGTCGTACAAGAGAGAGACCTAAGACACTTGTCCAAAATTTCTTTTTCGCTCGTAAATTCAAAGCTAAAAATTAACACGTTACCGAATACATCGATCCAGTACTAAATTTTACTTAAAAAATTCTTAAAAATTGTTTGTCTCAAAATAAACCGACTCTTTCAAAATAGTATATATTACTTTTTTAATGAATTTGAACGATTTACTATACAAAAACTATGTAGGTCTTGCAGCTACTAATTTTTTTAGTCAAAAAAAGTATCAAAAATTTTTTTTCTTACAAAGAAAAAAATCTGGTTTAAAATAAAGTTAAATTTCAGGTCCTAAAATTAAATTAAATTAAAAAAAATCCTTATTTGTTTATTACGTTATTCAAAAGTTTTATTGATATTCAAAATTGGGAGTGGCTGGGTATTGATTGAATTGAAAGGAAATTCATACAGTTCATACGATTTATTGATTATTTGGCGAAGCACAAATAAACATTAAATTATTATACTGATGTATAACATCATTCATATAGCAGTTCCAGTAAAAATAATGAAGCTGCTTGTACAATAATTACATGATAATAATCTGACTAGATAATTTAGTGTTTCAGTCTGTGTATGAAAAAAAAAAAAATTTTCACGTAAATTTCAAAATAATACTTATTGGAATGTTTGTTTCGTTGGAGCATTCATAATAAACAAGTACATTGAATTGGTTGAAGAGAAACTTCTAAACAATTTTGTGTTTACTTAAAATAGTGCTTGAAACAAATTCTGTAAAAAAATCTTCGTCTACAAGTATAATCGATTAAACAATGAAACGTAATACTTTTAATGGAACGTCTAGCCCATATAGTTTAAAAAATTGTTTTGTATGTAAAAAATTTGTCCTCACAAAAGTGAGTGAAATGCATGATATGAGACAAAGTGCTGTTCAGCAAAGACGAGAGAGAAGAAAAGTTTTTAAATTTTCGCTACGTAATCACTTTTCTGGTAATTATCACAGACTTTTCTATAGCTCGGCGGAATGTTCGGAAACATGATCTCATAAGCGCGTGATTGAGTGATTGTTCACTGATAAACAACTTTTGCGAAGCAAATACTACAAAACATACCCAACAAGAGAAAAGCTCTCGATAATCGTCGCACAGCGTTCATCGTTACAAAAAAAAGCAGCACGCTACATTGATATTTACACAAAAAAAAAAAAAAAAAAAAAACAGTCTAGTTCATCACGTTTCCCGTCACCCGCGGCAGCGTAAGTAGCGTCGAAGCATCGCAAGACACTACTTTGGAACGAGGCCCCTGGTTTTCGGGTAGACCGGCGGGGGCATCTGCGGACTCTTGCGCTCGACGACGCTTTTGGGCCGTGCCCGGGCGGACTGCATACGCTGCCTGGACTTGAAGCTCGCCCCCGAGGCGTCGACGTCGATGTCGCCCTCATCGCAGAGCGCCTTCTCGAGGACGGCTTGTATGGTCGGCGCTATGACCGGCGACTGGTAGTCCAAAGTCGTCCGGGCCGGCATGTCGAGCTCCAGGTTGAGGATGTTCTCCCCAGCGAAGCGGGGCCCCTTGCCCATGGCCAAAGCTGTGCGCGCGTACTCGGAAGTTGGCCTCCGGAGCCCCGGCACCGAGACGGGCCGTCTGATGGTCTCGATGGTCGAAGCACTCGACTCCTTGAGCATCCAGCAGTCCTCCTCTTCGTCGAACTTGACGCGCGACAGAATCTTGTGCTTCTCTTCGACGGGGATGAAGTTGTCGATTATGAGGTAGCGCAACTTCAGCTCCTTCATAAGTTCGTGCTGGGTCTGCTCAAGGTCCCGCCTGTCCCGGTTGTACTCACCGGTCACGTCGTCCAGGTCCTGCTTGAGCACCTGCAGCTTCGAATAATACTTCCTGAGCTTCCTCGACTTCACGTCTACCTCCTGCTGCAGAGTGGCGTAGGTCTCGCGGACGTTTAAGGCACTCAGTTCCTCTTCCTCTAACTTTTGTTGCATCTCGATCTCGCGCTTCTTGCGCTCGGCTATCTCGATGGCACGTTGCTCCAGAGCTCGCTGTTGCTCGTTCGTGTGGTCGACTATGTTCTTGTCCCCGCACAGCATTTTGCTCTCCAAGTCTTTGATCTTCCGCTCGAGCTCCTCGGCCTCTTGCTTCTCGACTTTTAGTTGTTCCGCTATCCTCGTCTTCTCCTCCTCCGTCATCTGTGGCTCCTGCGCCTCGACCTCATCGTTCGGCTGCTCCTGTTCTGCAGTGGAAGCTGCGGCTGCTTCTTCTCCTGGTGCCTCTTCCCCGTCGGTTGTTGGTTTCTTTTGCTGCGTCATGCCTGACTTCTGGGCCAACTGCAACTTGAGCCTCTCGATTTCTTCCTGATACTGCCTGAGCAGGGCATCTTTGGGATCCTCATTGATTTTAGGCTTGTTTTTTATGTTCTTGGCACGATTAGCGTATCTGAGAGTCGTGAGAGTTTCATCGTAGTTGTAGCTAGCAGGCCCTATGTTTGCAATCATTACTGTCTTGGAATTACCACCCAGCGAGTCCTGCAGCAATCTCGTCAGTTTTGAGTCCCTGTAGGGTATGTGCGAAGTTTTGCCGTCTACCAGTGCTGAGATAACATTGCCAAGAGCCGACAGACTTAGATTGATTTTGCTGGCTTCCTTCAGCCTTTCCCCGGACGCTCCAGTTTTGCTTTGCCTTTCGCTGCCCGCCAAGTCAACCAAGTTCAGCCTTCCGACTCTTATCCCGTAACTGTCGCCCATTTCTATGGTTATTATGAAAATCGCGTGGGATCGTGAGCTGTGCTCGTTCATATTGGTCGCACCTATCGTCCGATTCTGATTGCCCGTTTTCATCAGCTGCTGAATTTCATTAGCATTCTTGCAAACGGCACTCGACAGGTCTTTGACGAAAATTCCCGTGTCCGGCTTTTCCTTCAACTCGAAACGCAAACTCTGATCCGGGCTCAACAGATCACGGATTTCTTCCTGGTAGATCTCCAGATAGCTGGCTCTCACGAGGTACTGAATGTTTTGAGATCTACCAATGTGAGTGAAGATTTGGTCAAAGGACCTAGGAATGACGCCTCGGTTGTCCACGTCAGCCTTTGAGCCCTCCATGGTGTAGGTCTTTCCCGTTCCCGTTTGTCCGTAGGCAAATATGGTACCATTGAAGCCATCCAGCACAGAAATAACCAGTGGTCGGACAGTTTCTTCGTAGATCTCTTGCTGAGTGGAGGTCCAGTCGTATACAGAGTCAAACGAAAACACCTTGACACTGTTCTTGCTGGGATCGTCACGTGGATTGCGAATTTCCACGGCTCCTCTCGATGGGAACATCTCGACGACTCTGGTGCAGTTTCTTGCGATTTCCTTGTCGTCCATGGGCCGACATCTCACCACGACCTGGACGCACTGTGGGGTTACCTCTATGCTCGAAGTTAATAGTTTGCTACTCTTCTTTTTCACCCCCTTGGGTTGACCCTCCGTCTTTTCCATTATCAATTATCTACTAGCTAAAATAAAAAAATGTACCAATGAGCTCATTTCCGACAAAAATTAAAATTTGATAGAATATTTGAATGCAAAATAAATACTCGAAACAGCTCCTTCAATAACGACGAGTCGAGTGTTATAGACGTGTTATTGATCCTTTTGTTTGGCCGCTACAGCAAGCAGCAACAGCAGGAATAAGTAGTTCTCGGCTGATCGTCCCGCACCACCTCTTCCTCCAACTGTTAGTGTAAATATCGATTCTTTCTTTGGTTCCCTTGAAAGTTTTCCATCGGAGTTTTTAGGTCTCACGTGAGGAAAAATGAGCAAGTAGCGGCTACAATTGATACGTTTGTTTAAGTTCACGCAGGCACGTATCAAGTAACAATTAATAAAAATACTATTTAGTGTGTTTTTATAACGAGGTAAAAGTGTAATCGTACGTCTCGGAAGGGCCGAAGGGGTGGTTGCAGCTCGATTACCGGTTCCTCGGGCACAGGGCAGGTGGTAACATTTTGAGTCGCCGTCGACGTCAATAGGCTACTGCTCCAAAAAGCACTGACAGATGCATACATAGCTGACATACATATGTGTATGTATAATATATATATATATATGTGTGTACGTCTCCTATTTACTCGCTGCTCTTCTGCTCTTAATTTGTTTTGATATTTTTTACATATTTCTGACAGATACAACATAATTAAGAGGTCAATTGTATTCATCGTCAATTGATAATTTCAATGTGGATGACGGCTCAATTTTTGCAAAATTCTAATAAAAAAGTTATAGTAGCTTTATATCGGACCATTGGGTGAAAAGTTTTTTTTTTTTTTTTTTTAATTTGAGTATACTCAAGTATTTAGTTAAATTACAATTTTTTTTTTGTGCTTTTTTTACTTGAAAAATATTAGTTTATAACCGGCTGAAATGAATTACGTGACAAAATCGTATTTACCGCTGTAGAGAAAATCGAACCCGCGCGCCGAGAAAGTTGTAATCGAGCCAATAGATTTGTCCTCGTCAGCTGTAGTTAACTTCACGTGGTGCAAGTCACTGCTCTCTAGTCTCTGCTGCTGGGTCTTGCCATTGTGAATGTGTGTGTATGTGTGTGTGTGTACATTTGCTTGTTGTGCTAGAGCCATAAACTACAATTTTTTTACAAAACGCCTCATGTAATTTGCCGTTAGTCGCACTCTCGTTTGTAAGTAAGTACTTTTGAATAAGACCGTACCTTCTCTGCTACACTTTCCCAGCCGCGTTTCTAGTTTTAGTCATTAAATTTGAAAAAGAAACCAAAAAACAAACGTTACTCACATCCACAGATCCACGTCTGAAGTTGTGACTCAATATTTCATCACTATATACACCCACCTTCTTTTTTATCATCGTGCTCTCTCTCTACTTTATACTTTCAAGTATTGTACCAATATCTGTGATAATAGTGAGATATTTAGTTATTGTTTTAAAACAATTTTTTTTTTTTTATAAATGTGTGTCCCATATGTCATTTTCTTGCAAGTAAGTTGTACTTGTGTATGATCCACTTTTTTTTTAAAAGTGTAAGTTTTTTTTTTTTTTGGCGAGAACTGCCTGCATAATGATAAGGGAAAAGGTAAAGATAATCTTATTGTGACAAAAAACAAATGATTGCAGATACAATGAAGTTGTGGATAGTGGTGCTTCACATTGTTCTCGTAGGGACGAATCTATGGGCGACTGCACACTTTCAAGATGACCCTACGGAAGACAATGAATTTGCTGAGTTTGAAGACTTTGAGGAAGAAAAGCCAATAGTGGAAAATGTGCCAAAATCAGAGCAGCCAATGCCTCAGTTTGAAGACGAAGATAAGGATGGTAATTTTGAGGAGGACAAAGAGTCCATCGAGGACGTGGACAATGAATTCGAGCATTTTAAGGACAGAGAAGAATTCGAAGGACTAGACATGAATGGAGGAAGTGCAGATGCCAAAGTTCAGGAGCCAACTTTAGTAATAACTAAGGTCCCTCTGCATTTACATGCGAGATGGAATGCCTTTTACCTTGAAATATTGATGATTGCTGGCCTATTGGTTTATTTTATCAATTACATTGCAGGCAAATCGAAAAATTACCGTATTGCCGATAATTGGTACAACGATCATAGGCAAATTCTTTCAGAAAACTTTTCTTTGGTTGGAGACACAGGAAAATCCAATGACGAAGGCTCGATCAATGGACTTATCAAAGAGAGCGAATCTCAGTACAGTATATACTGCAGTGGGAGGGTCGGCTGTGACTGTCTATTAATAGAACTCAAGCTGATCAAGAGGCAAGATCTAGTTGCCCTGCTGTCCCACCTAGTGCGGCCACAGAATGATCAGGCTCATTTGCGCATCGAATTAGCCAAAGATGAGTCCGACAACTTTGTTTTGGCCGTGGCTGGCAAAAGAACCGCCATGCACTTGTCCAAGGACATGGCAGACATCAGCGTATACTGTCCAGAGAGACGATCTGGTCAAAAATTCAACTTACCAGCTGGATTTTACGTCATGTCTGAAATTTCCGAAGCTACGTCTGCTATCTTGGATTCGAGAGTTTTTCAGGCATTCAACAAATACGGTCAATACATTGATTACATACATATCAGTGACCAGTACAGTGGACCAAAACAACAAGAGTGAGTTCATGTTACGATTTTACTCTAAATTCACGTGTTTGACGTTACTTTTATCCTATGTGTTCAAATTTTCAGGGATACAAACCAACTAACTATGCCCGAAGTGAAAAGAGTTCTATTAGTTGGTATAAATATCAGTATTAAAGGTCGGCTGAATACTAACGATAATCAAGATAAAGTACGACCTCTACTTCAACTAACGTTCTATTTACTCGATAAATTGCGTCGATTCAGGCTTTCAAAAGAGGTAAGCAATAGTGGGTTGTTTAAAGGTTTTTTTTCTCCCAAAATTCAAACTTAAGTTTTCGTACTTTTAAATCAGCTCCAGTTCTACATTATACCTGTAAATACTTTCAAACATGTTTGAAAAACTGTGATTGAGTGATTCATTACATCCATAAAATTTTCTTAGGGCAAAAGTAAGACTGATAAAAATCGACAAAAAGTTGAAGAAGCATTTTTGAAAACTACACACGCTGCCCGGGCGGAAGCTGCGTCCGCACGCCGCGAGGAGCGCCGTCGAGTTGAAAAGGAGCGTATCCTTCAGGAGGAGGATCCAGACAAGCAGAGAAAATGGGAAGAGAAGGAGCAGCGTCGGCTTGCCAAAAAACGCGCCCCAAGGATGAAGCAGCTCAAAGTTAAAGCTCTGTGATCTCGAGAAGTTCACGCCATAGAAGTTGCGTCGAGTTTTATATACTTACAATTCCGAGTTATCCTGTTGTGTTGATGATAACAGAAATTGTGCGCGTATAATGAAGCATCTCTGTTTGTTACGATTTTGTATCTCGTGGACTTTCAATTTTTTTTTTTTTTTTTCGGCCAACGACGGAGCCTGTAAAGTCTTAGGTAATGACTGTTTTCGAACAAAATACCTAACTCATAGGTATTTCTCCTATTCTTTTTTTCTTTCTTTCTTTTTTTTTCTCTTCAAATAAGCAATAAGCATCAAGCCAACCAAAAGTCTGAAACGTAGTTTTTGAACAACGTATACTTTCATACGTCACAGTTACATAATATTATATGCATAGTACTTTCTCGACCAAGTGGGTGTGTACTTATACTCGTAATATTACCAACATCAACGAGCACACACTTGTTCGCATTGACATAGTTTATTGTAAATACTCTCGTGTCCATGAAACTGCAATCCGTGCAGTCGAAAGCTTTAATAAACATATATTTACAACATCAAGTATAAAAATGTCAAAACTCAATTTTCATGCACTTTTACAAAAGTTTCGAGCCTAAACACGTCTGTGGTTATAATAATACGCACAAAAGCATCGTTTAAAGCGTGTATCGAAAAATAGTATCGTACAAAAGCTAAGACAAGCCACTCGATCGTAGACGGCACAGAAAATGTAAATGGGTTTCAGGCATGATCACGAGTTACGACTTGTGCTTGAGTAGTGACGCGTTGCGCTGGACAACGAGCTTGGAAAAAGAGAACTGGTCGAAGGACACGAAGTCGGTTATGACAATGTTGAGACCCCCACTGCCAGGCGAGCAGCGCTCCAGCCAGGGCAAGATAGCTCTGCGGCACTGGGCGCTCAGGTCGCGGTGCAGACTACCACAGATGTGCCTGGCCACGTAAGCCGTGCTGGGCGTCAGCAGGCACTGGGAAACAAAGCCAGTGTCCCGGCTACGCTCGCGGAGCCCCGCGTCCAGGAAGTCGACGAGCTTCGAGGTGCTCACGGTGTTTGGCCAGGGTGTGGGCCACAGCCCGGAGGGCCATAGGTCTCTGTACTCGCGTGCAATGGGATTCCTGTAGACGATCAGCGCCTGGTAGCGCTCCGAGGCGAGCCAGTCGAGGGACGTGTGGTCGAGCTTCTGGTGGTGGCTGACCGGGCACATCTTGCGGTGGAAGATCGCTCGCAGCTGGTCAATCAAGCCGCGGTGGCGCACCTCCTCGAAATCGTAAAAGTGCTGGAAGTCGAGGATGACCAGTTCCCGAGGGTGGGCGTCGAGCCAGTTGGCGACCTCGCGGAGCGGCTCGCCGATCTCGGAGCCGTAGAGACCGTGGAGGAAGTAGACCTTGTCGTCGTTGGGCTTGGTGGCGACGCGCAGGTCGAGGTAGCGTATGCCCCCGTCCAGTTGGTCCTTGACGCTTTCGTACTGGTTGACCGACCAGTTGAAGATCACGGGTTTCGTGACCACCCCAAAGTAACGACCAAGCGTCCGGATCATCTTCGACTCGTCCGGGCCCACGTCGTTGTTGCGCTCGATCGTGTAGGTCATCGTGTTGTGGGAACCTGCGTGCATGTGCATTATACGTCATTACATGGGTGCGTTTGTACATAGAAAATATAAGATTTCGTTTGCATAAGACGCGCAAAGTTTATTGTTGATCGTGGGAAAAATACAGGCTTACTCTGTATGTGTAAAATGGTAGTTGCTCATGAGAGAGAAGTTTTCTCGGGAACGTGGGTGACTCACGTCGTTACTCTGTCACTTACATAAATGTGTAATTATTTTACTCGATCATCGTATACATTCTTGGTAAAAAGGAAAAAAATAGCGAAATGAAGAGAACCGAGGCCATTTTATGTGTAGGGTACCTGAGTTGGGAGTGGCTTTTGGAAATTGCGAATCAAAACAAAAAGAACCATTGTTTTATTATTGAACATTTTTACATTGGGTATCCAATGCTATTATCCATATTTGTCAACTTGTATTTCTGGGTGGCAATGTTTTTTATCTAGCCAGTAAATACATCCGAATCATTGCAAGTGCTGAAGATAAAATTTAGGGCATTCAAAACGCGTATAAAATTTTCGTTGCAATTCGGAATGCACATCGCACGACGATACGATAAATCAATTTTCAAGAGTTTGAAAGAAGAATGCGCTTATTTTTCTCACTTTTTATCTCAAAATTGATACAAACGCTTGAAAAGCGGCAAAAAAAAGTTCGTAAAGTTAATAATGAAATTTGTAATAATAATCGTAATCTATAAAATGAAACATCATATTGTAAGAGTTTTTAAAACTCTTAATTCGATGTACAACATGAGATTCAAGGGAAAAATTAGGATGAAAGAAAAAGAGTCGGCAATTAATTTCTCAACACAATTCAAATGCTCCCTCGAGTTAGGGCAATTCATATACAATTAAAATAAAGGAAAAAAGGTAACTTTTACCAGGAATGGCTAGTTGCACGATCGGGAGCGAGCGTAGCCTCTGGGGTAGCCTCGTCATCCAGAAGCCCAAATCCTGGGCCAGATTCGGCGTGGCGGGGAACTTTTCGTCGCCGTCGATGTCGATCGTCGCGCTCTCGGTCCCGTACTCCGGTGCCATGTCTCCTCCTCCTCCGCTCCACGAGTCCATTTAACTTTTTCCAAATTTCAACAAAGAGTAAGTGTATGTATCAACACCGCTTTCGCTGATCGAACCAACTTAACAAGTGTTTGCAAAATTCTGCGGTACGAAAAACCTCTTCACTCGGGTACACTTGTAGACACTTAGTAATCTGACAGTTCCGCGATGATCGATGATCGTTTCAGTAACATTATAGCCCACCGCAAACAACATTAATATTTATATACTTTCGCGTGTCTCTCGATCCCGAGCTCGCGCTCGCACCAGCAAAATGTAAACACTGAACGTACAAGCAGCAGCAGCAGCTTTTCGTGTTATACCCAATAAAATGTTGTTGTTAATGCCGATCACGCCTTCATCCTTTCGCCGTCCGGTGCAGCGGACCTTGATCGGCGCGAGTATAATTGCGATAAATCACACGCACATATATATGTATGTACATTGTTTATTAAGGTGCACAACTACATAGCAAAACGTCCCCAAGCTGGATGCAGCATCCTAATCTCTACACCTTCCTTGGATGATACGGGTAAGAGGCACTCGTCACTTTCCTCCGGCATACTTGCTTGTTTTTTTAAATTTGATTTACTTCTCGGCAGCAACTCTTATATTTTTTGCTTTCAAACACCTGCTGCACCCACACAACCCCCCCCCCCCCTGACGCTTCTTTTTTTTTGTTTTTCTTTTTGTGCGTTTTTCATCAGGTAATCGATATTACAATCACAGATCTTCGTTTGCTTATTTCATGTGTATGGGATGGGTATTGCTTTACTCTATTGTTTATGTTTATATTTCGAGACTTTCAAGGGTCCAGCAGTCTAGCACTCTTTTCTCCCCTGATGATTCGGTATACAAGAGAAGATTTCGCACGCAGCAGCTGATATAAGTATTTTATATATACTCACCCGGCGCAATTTTCAAACATCAGAATTTGCAAGTACTCAATTGAATTGAAAAAATATTTTGCCAGGAGAGATATGCTTTCTTCGATCTTTTTAGCGCTTTGAATTTTTTGTTTTGTTTCAATGTCAAGCAAGTGCATTGTTAGTACTTATACTATTGTGTGGTTTCCGTGTTAGTTACAGGCTCAATGGTATTTTATTTGAATAACAAACAGTCATTAGCACATTGTGTATACTTCAAAGCTCTTTGTAATTTTGTGTCAGCTACATAAATATTAATAAACTTATACTTGTTTTCTCGACTTATGTAAAAATAATGAAAGATGTGCTTAACATAAAATGTCTTTGGCTATTTTTACCACATTCTCTTTTTACACATATATATGTAGGTACACAAGTGTCGAAATTAACCAGTTGATTATTGTTTTACTTAGTTTTCCATTGAGAGGGTTTTTTGCACATAATGCGGCGTTACCACCACGACCTACGTAACTTTGCAGCCTCTGATTTTATCATTCTGGTAAAAAGAGCACGGTGTAAGATGTACGTGAAGTTATGTGTAGTAATTAAAGTAATTACTACTAAGTAATGCCATATGGTCGATTTTATTAAACCATATGAATATCTATATTTTTGGAGGTCAACTTTTGGGTTAAAAATAGATTGTAAACTTGCCGCAAACAGCACAGACCACGTCAACTTTTTATTATCTATCTACAAAATTAGTTGCGGCTGGTTTATAATTGATTAAATGGCTCTTATATAAGAAGAAGTTTTTTTTTGAATTTTTGAATTGAATATATTTTTATTGGCTTTAACAAGTTGTTACATTGCCATTTCTTGTGAAATGTGAATATTACAAAAATACGGTATTTATCATATAGAATAACAATATAAGGTAGTTACATGTAAATTGGTCTTAAGAATACGTAAATAACCTAGCTGGTATTTTACATTGGAGTGAGCTAGAACAAAATTTTCATTTTACATTTGTATTTATACTTTTGGAGGTAGATTTTCGGATAAAAGATAAATTGGTAACTTGCCGCAAATAGCACAAAAAATGTTAACTTTTTATTATCTATCTATAAAATTCGTTGCGGCTGGTTTATAACTAATAAAATGACTTTCCTGTAAGTAGCAATAATTATTTTGGATTAGCGCCATCTAGCGGTCTTTATTTTTTGGCCAAAAGTGGCTCCTAAAATTCTTAATTAGAGCATTCAGGATTAGAGCCATTTACTCAATTATAAACCAGCCGCAACTGATGACGAAGCTATAAAATAAAAAAATAACGATACGTGTGTTTTTGGCGGCAAGTTAACAATCCATTTTCTACCAAAAAAATGGCCTTCTATGTATTTATACTTTTGAAGATAAATTTTTGAGCATAAGATAGATTGCTAACTTGCCGCCAAAAACACATGTATAATTATTTTTTCATTTTATAGCTACGAAATGAGTTGCGGCTGGTTTGTAATAGGCTAAGTGTCTCTAAGCGCTAAAGCTCTTCTTCAGAATTCTAGGGCCACTTTTTAGTTCAGGAATTCGCAACGCTAGATGGCGCTGATCCAACTAATTATTACTTCTTCTTATATAAGAGCCATTTAATCAATTATAAACCAGCCGCAACTAATTTTGTAGATAGATAATAAAAAGTTAACGTAGTCTGTGCTGTTTGCGGCAAGTTCAAGTACAATCTATTTTTTACCCAAAAGTCGACCTCCAAAAATATAGATATTCATATGGTTTAATAAAATCGACCATATGGCATTACTCAGTAGTAATTACTTTAATTACTACACATAACTTCACGTACATCTTATACCATGCTCTCTTTACCAGAATGATAAAATCAGAGGCTGTAAAGTTACGTATGTAGGTCGTAGTGGTAACGCCGCTTGGGGTGTGTTTTCCGCAATCGTCGTCACCAGCAAGTAATTTGAATTTGCGCTCTACGTTACCGTCAGGTCGGTAAGTCAACTACCTTGAATTAAACTGGCACTATATATTCCGTATGCAGTTAAAACAGCAGACGACGTGAAAGTCGAGAAAAAAGTGAAGATTTTATCGCTGTTGACTGTCGTCTGCTATTTTAACTGGCCAGATTACGGAACAGAGCGCCAGTGAATTCAAGGTACAGTTGACTTACCGACCTGACGGTAACGTAGAGCGCAACCTTAAATTACTTGCTGGTGACGATTGCGGAAAACACCCAAAATATATTGATTTTCGGTTTATAATATGGCAACCATGACGCTGAGATGGTACAACCCTACAACCATTGGTACCAACCTTAGTGTGTGATTTCAAAATTTGTAGGTTAGCTTGAAACAATTAATAACAACCTCGCTGTATATCTATATATTACTGTTGCATCCATATAGAATTTCAATAACAAAAATGCTGTGACTTTAAAAAAAAGTTATAATCAATTAAAGTTATCTTGTTGACGGTCGACGGAAAATGTTGACTGATGAGCATAGTTTTTTACGTTCATCAAGTTGAGAGATTTGAAGCATTGACAGTCAGAAATGGTTCTTTAAAAATACAGTGTGATTTGTTCATTTACTTTTGCATACTCAAACAATAGTACCTCATACTTGGGGTACTTTGAAAAGGTGTGGGTTATTCTGTTGTTCGACTTTGTGTAGTTTTTCAAAATAAATAAACAATAATTCTAATATGTCGCCGGAAGAGTGCAGAAAATATTTGAGATATTTGGGTAAGAGGTTACTTTTTACAGTTTTGTACATACATATAAGCCATTATTGTTTACTCAGTTACTTTGCAATGGAGAATCGTGGCGAATAGTTAAAATCTTGTTTCTTTTTTCAACCGGAGGCAAAATTTATCTTCTGTAAACGTGTGTACATGGATGTATGCTCAAAAATATTGTGATGATTATGTTTTCATATTTTAGAGTTGGATGCTTATGCAAAAATGGTATCAGCTTTAAGAGCACAAGGTCCTCTGACCGAAGAGAAACAAAAATTACTTGGAGAATTAGCACATGCTCTTCATATACCTAGTGAACGGCATAAAGCTGAAGTTCGCAGAGCTGTAAATGATGATAAATTAGCACTGATAGCTGAGCAGTGAGTGTACTATTGGAGCAATTCAAACGATCCAAATATCCATCCCATTCTTACTTGTATATTTTTGTTGTATTACTCTAGATTATTTGGTCCTAATAGTGATACAGAATGGTCTGTGGAAGGTCGCAGAATGATTCCTTTATTTCCAAGACTAAAGGGTCGAACAGCATACACGACGTTTGCCAATAGTTTGTCTCTGACTACTGCCATTGCTAATGACAGATCACCATCTCATCTAAGAAAACCGGAAGGTTATTATATGTGAATTGAATAACGATGATAAATTATTGTTTCATACAGCTCTGTTCTATTATACAACAATTTGTTTCAGGAAAATACAAAACTAACCCTTACTGCCATCCCAAGTACAATGACAAATACTCAAATAATGATGGTAAAAACACATTTGTACCTAGAAAACGAAAAAGATCATCACATGAGGTATTTCATTGATTTTAATCATAGCACTTGTACTCAGTAATATAAAAAAATCTAATTGTAACAAACTCTTGCACCTTAGATCAATAGCTTCAACAATGGTGCAATAAGTTATCCAAGCACAAGTTACAATAAAAAGACATTCAAATCGTTGAATAATGCAAAATCGTATTTGCCACAAACAGTTAAAAGCCAGGTAACAAAATACTATGTAAGAGCAACGAAATTCTTGTATAAGAAAAAAAAAAAAAATTAAATTGTTATTAAAATTGTTTCAGAACACAGTCAGTAGACAAAGGATAGATTCCGTAAATACCTCAGAACCAAGCCACAGTCAAGAAAATATCGAATTAAGATTAGCATCTTAACTAGCAATTACTATTAATTATAATTATAATTAGTTGTTTGTAAAATAAACATGTAATATATCTTATTTGATTAAGAATTTTGTAAAATCTTACCGTGAGTTAGAAAATAGCAATTGAAACTTTTGAAAAATAATACTTGTATTATTCTGTAAAGAATTTCGGAATTAGTGCATGCTGATTCAAAAACTTGATTTTCGTAAAATTATATTATTAAGAATGTTAAAGTCTTTTTATACAAAATAAATTATTATTTTTTGAAGTAAGCCACGTTCTTGTGTTGCTCTTCATTACCCACTGGAGCTATAATCGGATGGATCGAAAAAATTGAAAATATTGATAGCCCGATCTCACTATGGCATTTTAAGAGTATTTTTCCATCATTTCGAAATTCAACTTATTTACAACCAATACTTAACAAATGGGTGGTCTATTGCACAGTGCCATGTGAAAGAAGAGATCTGTAATATTTTTGTCTTGCATTTAAGGCGTTTTTTTTCTAGTCCTGCTCGTTTCCAATTGTGTAAGTGTGTATTCATCCCCCCACACAGCCTGAATCTCTGAGCACGTCTAAATGGGCTCAACGAATTCAATTCGCCGTAAACGTATGTATGCGTACGGACTAAAAGTTGTTATGCAAAAAACCCGTCACTCAAACGCAAATCTGCTAATCGAGAGTAATTACAGTCAATGGCGAGAAAGAGCACAAACAGCACTGGTGGCAACGTTTTTTTTTTTTTTTTTTTTAATGATTCGAGACAGTCAATATTGTCAATGGTCAGGCATTGGTCTTAACGATTTAGGGTATAGAGTCTCCAACGATCAACAGAGTATATATATGACAGTTTTTGCTTGCTGTTCAATTTTTGAGCGTATTTTTTTTACCAGCACATCAATGATTTTTTAAATAAATATTTTACAAAAAAAAACTACTAGTGGCTTTTTGTGTTCTTTCGTTAAGCTTGTATCTTCTTCCTATTAGCACAATTTTTTAGAGGAAAAAAGTACAACAATTACAAATTTTATTTAGTACATTTTGTAAATATTTGGCTTTTTGAAAAAGAAAATTATTTTTTGTCACTTTTTTCTCAGACATTTGGCAGAGTGTAAATTTTGTAAAATGCCCCAAAATCGAAAGCCTCACAACTTCTTACGTATGGAGTAAAAATCATTAATTAATTAATTTTCTGTATTTGTTTGTGATTGATTATAATTTTTTTGAAACTATTCTATATTGTCCCCCTTTAAAGAATTGATGAAGGAATTCAAAATACATACATTGGAAAAACCCTTGTGAGTTTGTGAAGATGCAAGTTTCGGATACAACAATTCCCCTGGTCTCAAAAATAAATTTATATTATCATGGACAGTTTCTAAATTATCCAATTGGTCTAAGGAAACCGTTAATAGCATTTTTCGTTCGAAAATAATTTGATACATCGTCACAAGCATTAGGGTCTAAAGTTTAATTTTGACAAAAATCGTATACTTATTTAAAAAAAAAATTGTATGTCTCAAAAAAACTATATAAATACGTCATACTTCTTAATGCAGCTTTCAACCTCAAAGTAAAGTATCTCTGAAAAGTAGCAGGCCCAAAATGTGTCCATGGGCGTAAAATAGCGTAAAAAAAACATCATTTATGAGTTGTATTCAGGCCTTTTTTTAACTTTCAACGTTTGTTGCACCCTCGGTATAGAAAAGGTAGGATTTTCCACGTAAGGACCATCCAACTGAGTCTACCCAACAGTCCCTTGGGTCAAAGAATGGCCCCAGTGTCGATTTTTTTCTGTATAACAAAAACTCTGTTTTTTTTTTTTTTTTTTTTTTTTTACATAAAAACTAACAAAAATGTTTCCAGATCTTTGTTAATTTGAGAGGAAAAATGGGAATATCTCAGTTTCTGGATACTCATAAAATTACGGTTAATTATTGTTATTAAGTTTGAAAATAAACAAAATTCACCTCGTAATTCTTTATTATATGCTCAAAAATCTATGCACTTTCAAGCCCATGTAAGTAGGCACATGTACATCTAATGCATAAATTGTTTCTAATCAAAATTCAATAGAAAGTTTTTTCTTCCCAATGTAGTGCATTTCCAAGAATGTCAAAACGAAATATCAAAATATTCTTTTTTAGTGAAAATCGCAGACACGGCATTGAGCTTTCACCAGTTACTCTCAATGAATATACTGAAATTAATTAACTTGAGTATTTAAGAGAAAAAACAATTCGCCTAAAATTGGCGTTCTATTAAATTTCAAGTCATCTAGAGGCATTCTCTAAATGTAACAGTGTATTTAAACAAATGATTTTTAAAGACAACATAGTTTTGGCAGTTTTGTCATTTTCTTTTTTGCTTACAATATTTTTAGTAAAACAGTAAAAACTATACGGCATCTCTTTTAGTTTTTATCTACCCTAAAAATTGACTTACATTTCAAGAAAAATGTTATTAAAAATTTGATATGCAAAATTTAAGATTTTTGGAACTTGAAAACTATGTAATACATAAATAATCGAGGTTTTTATTATATAAAAAAATTAATGTCATTTTTTAAAATATTATTTTTTTAGAATTAGAAAATTTTGGAAGATTAACTGTAAGAAGCACAATTTTTGTATAGTTTTATTGTATAATTTGAAAGAAAGTATATGTATTTTATGTTTAAGGTAAATATTGTTAAATACACACTTGTTTTTAAGTACTCTACATAAAATGCAAGTACTTTTAAACATCGGTGTATTTAAAAACACAGCAGAAACTTGGGTCATTAAACGTAAATTACAATTTAAGTATTAATTAACAATTAAAAGTTAAAACGTGAATGTTATCTTGAGATTTTATTTTATTGCTGTAACAAATAATCATTGAAAATATGAAATCTAACTCAAATTATAGCTCATATCGTTAACCATTGTCAAATGATGAGCTCTCTTATCTTCGTTTTTTAAATCGTCCACAATAAATATTTCTACACCCGTTTTAAATTAAAATTAACGGAAATAGCTGATAAAAAAAAACTGATCTTACAATATTAATCTAAATTTGACGTGGCCGCAAAAAAATTAAATGTGAGAAGTTCATTGAAAACTTATGTATAGAGAGGTTTTCATTTATAGTTAATACTTTTTCTAGTCATTGATATCACTGAATGATTTGTCAGCTCGGATATAACAATAATTTTATCGAATAAGCTAGCTATAAGTAAAATTATGGTTGTATGCTGATTAAGAAGGAAGTTTTGAAGATTTATGTTTATATGATGCAAAGTTTGTATGATCTGGATTTTTCTGCACTTGTTTATTTAAATGAGGACACAATAGTACATGAGTATGTGTACGACCTACGCAACTATAATTCGCAATCATTGAGACTTGAGATCTCTAAATTTAACCCGCACAAGTGCTTTGCCATAAATTTATTTCTTACGTATCACTGATGATTGAAATCATTCATTTTTCAATTACTTAGAAGTATAATCTATAAAGTAAAATATGGTGCTATAGGCGCTCCAAAGACTCTTAATTATTTAATTTTTTAAGAGTTTTTAAAAATCTTTATTAATTGTACGGATCATTCATTTATGTAAAGAAAATATGTTCATTATTTGTTAGAAAAACATAAACTTTCGTTTTCCATAAATGTTATTTAAAAAAAATTTTTTTTAATTAAAAGAAATCATACGAACTCAATAACCACTTAGAATAAGCATGTATTTTTTACATTAAATACTTTACGCAATATGTAAGATGGTAGAAGATTTCTTGAGCTCCTGTAATGACTTGATAAATAAATTAACACTAACATTTTGAAAAAAATCTGTTTTTATCAAAATAAATGTATTGGTAGCACTTTAAAAAAAAAGAAACGACATGGTATAAACAATATAGAGGTGTTGAAAAAACATTAATATTAAGTGTAAATATTTTTAATGCATAAAACGAGCAGTTGGTTACAAAATGTCTTCCCTTAAAAAATATGTATTTTCAAGCTCTCGATATCCTAGTTCTAACAAATAATTTAAAATTTTTTATAGCAATACATAAGAATATGTAATATTACGTGGGTTTTTTCGTTATTTTTAATGACAATAATAAATTAAAATAAAAAACTCGTTTTGTTTAATTTTCTTAATTTAAGTAATTAATAATCAAAATTTTGATAAAAATTCATTGACATACATTGACATACTTTGTCCCGATTTTTACTATTTTTTTAAAATCCACTTTAAGTTATTTAATTTTTCAATACTTGGAAATGCTTATTTAGTAGTTGTATGAAAATAGATCTCAATCTTACAACCAAATAAAATTTTATAAAAGAGAAACCATAACAATTACTGTCAAAATCAATAAAATAAATAACAGAGGAACGAAAACTATTTGTGTCACCGTAATTTTTAATTTGTTGGGTTTCGAACACATGTATTTGGTAATTCAATAGTACTTTTTCAGTAATTAAAAGGCCCATTTTAAGCCGTATTTGATAAATGTATAAACTTTTAACTAAAACAATTCTTGCGTTAAAAAAAAATTATCTTGACTTCTTAATTTACCAGATCAATTTTTTGTGTGGAAAATTATGCTGCTCGAAAGAACACCAATAATGTTGATGCTATTGTTACATCCCGAGTTGATACGAATTACATTATAACTAAAAACTATCCGTCCGTCTAATTCAGATAAGATTCAGCTCACGAGCTGAATCCTAAGAGACTCACGAATGACACTTAAATGAAACAGTTAAGATCATAACACTATTTTTAAAATAGAAATACTACTTTTAATAATGTAAACAGGTTAAATTTCCATGCAATATTGATTTTTTTGAATAAACAAATAGATTTTCTTGGTTAATAATGAACAAAAATTTCTGGAAATTAAAGGTCGCAAAAGACATTCTTCTCTGAAATTTTTAGGCTCTTAAATTTTCATATTGAATAAAAAGTTTGGATTTTTGACAATTTTTGGCTATTATTTAAATATGTAATTAATTTACTTCAATTTATCAGGATTTAAATAAATAGTTTTTAAAATATCTAGACCACAGAAAAAAAACTAATTTTCCGACCCCGGGTGTTTTTGAGGGTCGGGTGTGCCCACGGTAGGAAAAATAGGATTTGCCATACAAGTACCATCGCTCGGCAGCTACCTTATAAGGCCTTGCTTCGCAGGTCCCTCGGGCCGCAAAAGAGCTACAGAAACGATGGCACTTATACGACAAAAACTACCATTTTTATTTGGAGCTTTGGCATATAGTTTTTGATAACAATGATGATTGAACATTTCGTAATGATATCTTATTTACTTTTTATGACATGGATTTCCTTAAGATATGACTTTTTATGAATACCTAACATATACTTGTATTGGTTTGAACATTTTGACAACAAAAATGAGAGTTTTAAAAAAAATGACAGTATTCAATTATTTAGGTAATAGTTTTTATCAAATAATCATAAAGGAGATAAAAAGAGTGAAACAATTTTGCTGGCATCCGGACTGATGTACAAAATTTATTGTCGAGCTATTTTCACTTATTTGAGCACATCTTATACAGTAAACGATAGTTTTTTGTCTACGAGAGATCCCATGGAAATGTTTACTCATAAATTACTGACGATTAAAAAATGTTTTTATTGCAGATAGCTTTGGGACAAAACTTTATCCTTCCACATGACTTAAAGTATATTTAAAAAATTGTATACATGCAATAAAACAAGTAAAACAATTTTTTAGACCTAACTGTAGTTTAAGTTTTTATTGCAGTTTACACTTAAATTAGAAGAAAAAAAAAAAAATAAAAAATAGTTTTTCGTAATAAANTTAAATACTTTCTCACGTATGAATAGACGATTAGGAAAAAAATGATAATGATTCGTGTAAAATTTCAGTATTCTTTATTGGTGTAAAATCAATGGGAAAAAATCAAATGTATATACAATGTTAGTCTAAAATATTGCGGACAGATGAGTGTAAGGTATGTCAATAATAAAATTATTTGAGCTATGTTGCACTGTGTTTCGCTGGTTTTCGATACCAAAATTAAAGTATTGAAGAGAAAAAGTTAATCCTCAACTTTGTTGTAGCAATTAAAATAAATTCATTACACTTTTAAAAATAGATTATTTTTCCATTTGAATAAAAAGTATAAGTGTAGTTCAAATAAAATCCGTGAACGTAAAGTAGTTGTGAAATCAATTACTAGATTTATTGTGGAGAAACACATTATCAAACTCAAAACAATGTTATATGTACATTTATAAAATTTTTATTAACCAATGAGTTAACCAAAATGGTAAATGTTATCCACAAAATAAAAAAATAAACATTAGTTTTAGAAGTACCTTATGAGGACGTCAATGCTTTTCCATAGATCGTATCTACTCTGGCCAAGTGGGTAAGACACTTACCTGGAGATTCTTCAGACCAGGTTCAAATCTCCTTAAGTAAGAGATGCTTTTTTTCTGGTATTTACTAATTTATATTAACTATTCTAACACTTCTTATGCAGAAAAAATTTTAAAATTTCCTGTGTATGTATGTAGATAGTAATTAAATACATTTAATCGACTAATATACGAACTTTTATAAGAACTTACATAAGAAATCTCATAAGATCTTATGCAAGTTCTTGGTTGATAAGCAAATGTAAGATCGTGTACAAGATCTGACATAAGTTCTATTTAAAGAGCTTAAATGAAAACTTACATAAGAACATATGTAAGAAATTACATAAGAAATTACATAAGAAATTACGCAAGAACTTATGTAAGACCTTATGACAAATTTTCAGCTGGATTGTATTTATAAAACGGATGCTATTTACAACATAACACAACATAACACAATGCGCTTGGGATCCCCTGTTTTTTATTAACAATACTAGTAACTATTATAGAAACATCAGCTGAAGGCAAAGCCCTACAGACTTTTTGTTTTCACTCTGACATTATTTAAGATCTTAAAACAAATGCTTTACCCATGAACATTCAGTGATTTTTTTTCAATGATACTATTATCTGTGGAACAACAGCGATCAACAATATATTAATGTGCGCTTTCGACCTTTTTTCTACGAGTATTACTATAAATTATTATACAAACACTATTAACATAATTAAGTAGTGTGCTTTGGATAACTATTAGTATTACATAACTCTAATCAATTTTTTTAACAGTTGGAATCTCGAACACAATTTCTTAAATGGCAATGAATTTCATTTTAAGCGAACTACCACCATTACGTCCGTATATACAAATCAATAAGAAAAAAGTGTGAGTGAGACTTATGAGTTAATAAAAGAAAAAAAAACATGTGCTGCAAGTATTCAAGTTTTCTTAAGAGCCACTCGGAACTTTTTGTTCAATTATTAAAAATTGTAAAAAATTTAATGGTTTCATGTTTTTACACCGAAGAACAAATTGTACACACGTAATGAAACGATTATAACGATTGTTAAATGTTAAGAAAAACTGAATGGTTTCATGTTTTTACACCGAAGAACAAATTGTACACACGTAATGAAACGATTATAACGATTGTTAAATGTTAAGTTTTTACTCTAGTTAACACTTAAATGAGACCAAAATTTAAATTTTCGTAAAAAATTAGGTTTTAAAAATTTGTCAACTCTCTCTGATTAAAAATTTTTCTTTTTAACTATCGTAAAAAACTTGTGATCGAATGACCTCGAAAAGCCGTTAAAAATTTTACGAAATAATAGCGATAAAAAAAATTCAAGATTCTTCAAACTTATCAACTCTCTTTCTATCTCCACCCATTATTCGCAATTTCAAACTTTTCAAACAAACAATATACAACAATAAGCGCCTTAAAAATTTTCCCAACGTTTTATTCGAAAATTCTTATCTCTATTTCCACTACAAGTCCAAAAGGTTATCAAAGTCTGGATTGTGCTATTGCACATCATCGAACATCCCAATCTGTTTGATGGGTGAAAAAAAAAAAAAATAAAAAAATCTTCCTTCCAGCCCTATACAATTAAAATCTCGAACGAGTATCACTTTTCGGGGAATCGTGCATATAATACATCACACGTATCCGACTCTTTCTCTCTTCAGAGTATAGCGGGGCAGCATGAAAAGAGAAACGGAGCACCAGGCTGCGCGCGTCACGTGCGCTGGGTTCGATGATAAAAGCCGCGGCGAGCCTGGGCGCCGGCTCAGTACGGTCCCAGCACCAGGAGTATAGGCATCGCCACCCACACACACGTTAAATACCAGAGTCGCTTGTCACCAACAACCCACCACCCGCTCTTCGTTCCCCCGCGAGGGTACAGGAACAAAGTCAAAACACGCAGGCGTGGAACAGGAGATTGATACATATATACAAGCTCGCGGTCATCTGGAGTGGCAACAATAACAGAGAGAAAAAACTCATCAGCTGCTCCGAGAGGATAACTCGCGAGGACAGCCCCAACGATAAATCGCCGAGTACAACATCGTCGCGGCTTTACAGGGCAGATCAGTGAACATGTGAACATCGCGAACTTGTGCCTGCGACCCACCCCCACCCAATAAACTGTACAATCAAGTAGTAAAGTCCTTCAAAACGTACCCTCCGCTGTCAGCTGTGCACAACAACAAGGAGAAAACGCGAAATTCCAGGTCAGAGGGACAAAAGAAAAAAAAAAAAAGATAGGGAGAGGTGCCGGTAAAAAGGGGCGAGTGTAGTCGTCCGTACCTGGATAAAGTGCACGAAAGCCGCAAACTGGCTCCGGAAGTGAGGATCAAGCAAATTGGAATGAGGGAGGACCTGCTCTCCATCATACGGCACACGAGTAGCGACCACTTCTCGGAAGAGCTCTAGCCCGCGATCGATCCTCCTTTGACGTATATATATATATATACATAAAATATATACAATTATTTTGCCGTTCTCCTTTATTTCCGTATCACCCCCGTGACTTATAATTTGCGAAACACATACACCCGTGAACTGGATGTCCCACGGGGAGGAAGATTTTACCTTCGAGAGAGAGAGAGAACCCGAACTCGCCTATAGACTATATACCGCGGGACACTGTTCAAGCGCCCAAGGACTCGTCCAACATTGGAGGTCGTCGGGGTGAATATCGTACCCGCGTCCACGTACACGCTTGACCAATGCCTTGGGTCGCCGCTTGTCTGAGCTTGCTCTCGGAACCGCTGCTCGGCTACTGCCTGCTCGCGAAAAACCTGGCCCTGCAGGCCGGTATCATCCAGAACCCCGTGAAACCCATGGCGCCGAGTATGGATCAGCAACAACAGGCAGGTCAGTTACACGTCCATATAACCTTTTAATATAATATTGTGTTGTCTATAAAAAAAAAAAAAAAACTCTTTCTTCGACCCTGCACTTGGGGATGCATAGTGTAAAATGACGCAACATTACCCAAGACGGTTTCAATGATAATTACTAACATGGCACTTGAAAAAACACAAAACCAAAGATTCGTATACCTGCATCAGAAATGTGCTACACGATCACATAACCCGTTGGGTCACTAGTATGGGTTTTTCGGTGAATTGCGTAGTGTGCTCTACTGATACTGTACACAGGTACACATATGCACGGGTTCCTCCTATTTTCGTCGTACACATTGTACTCCTACAACTCCGCTTTAGTGCCTGCACGTTCGTTTCTATTGATTTTTCCCTCTCACATATTTATATACGTACGCCGACGTACGCTGGTTGTCTTCGTGCGCCGGTCCCAATTACAACGTAATTACTCAATGGTCAATTGTAATCGAGCAGGCGTCGCTTCACCCGTTCGGCATTTCATCGCATTTACGATCGCGGGGTTATGCAATCCTTCATCTAGGGGCGTATATCGGGAGACAAACACAACTGTCATTTGGTGCAGTGGTGGAAAACAACGGGGGTATCGAAGATCAATTATGTAAGATTCATTTGGCAAAAGCTCGTTGGGGCACGTTAATTAATTTTTTGCGCCAACGTCGGACTTTTTTTGAAAATCCAAACGGTTTCGAGGTCAACTAGAAGACATAGGGGTGGGGGGGAGAGATAAAAGCAAGATTTTTCCTTATTTTTCCAAGCGCGTTGATTGTCTTTTCTTCGCCCGAGGAAACCATCGCCTTGGGTTGTACGTAGTGACGCGCGCGCGTGTATTTATAGATAAGCCGATTTTTCAGTGCTACTCTCGAGGCGCTCGGAATACAATAAAAAGCCCCGGTTATCGGTAGGGAACATAAGTTTCATTGGATGAGCTAACAATTAATGAGTAGGGGATATTTATAAATACACAAAACATTAAATACCCTGATACGGTGATGGAGATGCAACGCGTGATTTTTTCGCGACATTGTCTGTTGGAAATCGTGTCGTCGTCATGTCGTTGTTTCGCTTTGACGAAAAAAATTATTCGTGTTCCCCTGGTACCTGTGTAGATGGTATGTAAAAAATTTACTCCCTAGAGGCGCCGGCGTTGGGGAAAAGTCGCGAATTTTCCTGTAACCGCATGACGCAACATTTTGGACCACTAAACGAGATGTTTACGCTCCACATGCGCCCATTGTTCGTCTCTTCCTCGGGTCACTCTCAGCTGTCGAGGAGAAAAGAGGCAGGTATAGGTACGGTTACGTATACTGCGCAGGTCACGCACAGTTTTCAAGGGTATAGGTCGTAAGCGCAGAGCGGGTGTTTGCTGGGATATACATGTCAAACCTCGACCCCCAATTTAATGAAACACGTTTCCCTACGACAACATCGTTACACAAAAAAACAAACATTTTTTTTGCTCTTTGTCTTCCTTTACAATGTTATTAGAGATCTACGAAAACTTGGACATTTTTTTGATTTATCACCCTTAGCGTTCATCGACAAAAAGTGTACATACCATCGACACGTGCCTCTCGTATGAGCTGAATATCATCGAACGGCGCTGCTGTTTTTTCGCAGTTGTCGATCGTCTTGACCTCCTTATTCACACGAGCACATAGCTACACGCGGACACACGTGTGCAAAGAGTTTCTCTACTAATTTGCCGCCGATATATTTGAAATGTTCTAGTTTAAGACCTATATATACTCGCTGTAAGAGTGTGTTATATACACACACTGCAGTCGTGGGGGGACGAATTCAAGTTTCCACCCACATCTCTGGATCAATAGTGCAGGTTGCGATTACATTTTTACCGCTACGTACATAACTGCGACTTGCGCCTTACAAACTTATTCACTACATCGTCTTTAATTGTATGTGTTCACCTCGTGTGACTTTTGGAGGACGAAAATTATAGAGACCCTTTTTATGCTGTGGTTTTAATTTTTTTCGGTCAAAATTTTAAATTGAAAAAGAATTGTTTTTTTCGTTATCTAACGTTTTTTATAAACGTTTTTTTTTTATAATTATAACAAGGACTGACGTACGCGGAACCGTTTTTTTGCCAGGTGTGTGCGATCCCGAAAAAGATTTTTAATTGTACATGAATTTCGTGGTCGAAACGGGTTAGTAGAAGTTTTTGAAAAATAAACAGGTGAGAGGATCAGCGAGTTGCCAACGACAGGTTTTTCCACCGCATTAGCACGAGCAACGTTTTTTTTTTTTTCTTTTCAAAAAAAGGTCTGTATCTAACTACACGTACAAACAAGGAAAATACGTTTGATTAACCAAAACGAGTCTGGTGCGATGGATAACCTATCTTCTAGCGAGTTGGTGGCTGTTTTTGTTTCAGCTGCATGATGCTGCCAAAAACTATATTTAACTTGTTTTTTCCTTCCTTGCAATCGTTTGCGTGTCTTTGTTTTCAATTGTATTTGAAGATTTCCTCGGAGTGACGCTTTTGGGCTGGTTTTTAATTTTTTTTATTTTACCAGTCTGCAAAAAACAATACCCAAAATAAAGCATAGACCTATACAGGAAAGAGAAAAGGGTCTACAGTAGCTTTCGCAGAGCTTACTAAATCATAAATTCTCATTTGAATTTGAATGTCGATGAGTATAGGTGAACATAATTTTCGAGAAACGGCGAAACGAGACTTTCTATGTCGAAAGAGAAATTTTGATTCCACAACGAAATCACAGACAATGATTAGCTTTGACGAGTAAAATGTAGTCATGTTTTTTCGTAGAATCGACGAGCCTTTGAGTTTTGGTACCAACATTGCGGATATAGTCCGGCAATAGTCCAGGGTCAACGTGGATGTGTAGCAAATGTCGAGTCCTTGACGAAATTGGCTGCAGACTAGGTTAAGCTCGAACTTTTTAGAAAATAAGGATTAAATTGCAAAATAGACTCTTGGCCATCAACAAACAATTTTTGCTTGGATAAAGTCTAGAATAATAAATTAATCATAAATAATACAAGTTAGAAGAGCAAAAATAGCTGCAATAGGTATAGATTAAAGATATATGAGAGGCAGGCAGGTTTACATCGAGAGACAGGGGCCCGTCATTGCTTTCGAAACTTGTCCAGTGGTTCTCAAACCAATGAGTTTTGCGACTCACAACGGCATAAATAACCCACATCTACCCATTGAATTTTTTAAATTTTCTTTGATCGTTTATACCATGTACACCCTTATATAAAAGATGTGGTCGTATGGTCTTGAAAGATCAGTCTAAATTCGTTGGCGTTGGAAGGGTCAAAAAATATGCTAAAAATCCAGGGAAAAAATAATCAGAGTGAACAATGAAAGGCGTAGTATTTTTTTTTCTTTCGTACGATAACAGGAGACTAACGCGTAAATATCTAAGGCGTGGCGAATTGATGCCGGAGAGAGAGTATACACTTGTACAAGAGAAATAAAACAAAATTGAAAAAGTTCTTGCTCTTCTCCCATTCGTTCGTGTTTTATATGCTCGAGACACAGAGACGCGGGACTCATAGAGATGAAACTTTGATGCTGAAACCAACACGAGCCACTGGCCTAAAAATAATGAAGCTTACAGACACGAACATCGAGTCGAGAGAGCGCTAGGACTTCTCGAGGTTGAGAACCACTGGGATCGTTGAGAAAATCTGTTTACGTAAAGCGCGCAAAGAGTATTAAATATTGTTATTGTTATTATTATTTATGCCACCCGGTCGATACTAAGGTTCTCACGGCCGGAGAGGAAAGTTGGCTTATCGCGATTCGCAAGTAAAAACAAAATATATTCACGCAACGCCAACAGTACGACCGATAACAAAAAAAAAATTCGTGTGAATTTCATCTCATTGACTCTGGCGTTTTTTGTCAAAGTTTTGAAAATTCATGATCGAAACACAACATAGGCACGTTCAACTAAATGTATAAAAAAAAAAAAAAAAAAAAAAAAAAAGACTTAACACAGCAGGGGGAAAACGAGTTGGCAAAAAAGAAGCAGAGCTAAATACCACCCGCCCAACGAGTGTTGTATAAATACAGCTGCGTCTCAGCGTGAATCTTCTCCCCTTCTTACAAATCTATACGCTGTAGATACACACACGCGAACATCGTTATCGGTAGGGGGCCAGACCGCGCCTCCGGATTTCGGCCAATCGGAAGCGGCTCTCAAATCTCTTCGACCTTGAGACAAGAACCGTATGTTGATTCGATGTCTTCACATGTTATCAAATTTGATGAGATGACCAGTGTATATGTATGGCCGTAGAGAAAGAGATTGTGGTATTTTTTTTTTACATCGAGTAGCACAAACGGACTCGGTTACTTTTATTGCCTCCTGTGTACATATATGTGACGCCCTGCGCTGAATTGATTAAATCGAGCGAGGCCGGTCTTTCAACCGCGTATACATATGCATACCTGTGATTGAGACACGTTTTTCTTCAGCCATATGGTGTACGAGTAACTCACGGAGACAAGCACGCTTATACTATTTTAGTTCGACAACCTCGGTCCGACTGGTTTTTTTTTGTTTTTTGTTCTCGTATCGGTAAATACCGATCCGTTGCCATATAATATACTGTGCGCCAGGAGATTTTTTTGTTTAAAGTCTGACGATCGTCAGAACACCTTTTCCGTCTAATAGTTCCAAGATTTTATCAAAGTTATTAACTTTTGAGTATCGCGTACGAATTTTTACCTCCCATATACGAATGACTTATATACTTTTTACAGCAAACAATGAAAGACTTTATTTGTGTTTGTTATTATAACGATGATAGTATTTCCAATAACAAAGTACTTGGCTGGAATGATAACAAAAGTTCAAACTTTTATCGATAAAAGGATAAGTTTAAAACACGAGTGTTTCGACGATGAACAAAACTTGGCGATAGAGATGATAACGTTTGTTAATTTATGAGTTTAGTTATCTCACGTTTTCC